GTTGTTTCACGTACACGATAACACTCGACTTACGCCTGATTTTCTTCTATTATGAGGACACTGAATACAAAAGTTTTTGATTCACTGAGCACTTGGTCGACAACCACTTCTAGCCAGAAGTTCAAAACGTTTCTCAAGAAGCTACTTTCCAAATTCTGCTTTGCTTTCGCTGATAGAGAAAATCTGATCAGGTTTTTGGTGAATTCAGTAATATAACCGTTCAATTTGCACATACCCAATCAAGACCCCAGGTATTTCTTGCAATGAAGCGTCTTGCGCGATCATCATATCCACAAGCAAGTAGGCCATGAAAACCACATGGTGCGTCATCTGGACCAGAAGGCATCGGTACAAACCCACGATTTTCCCCCGCTGTTTTAAATGATTCAAAGATTTTTAATCTAAATCCGAATGGATAATCTTCAGCTAAACAGGTTTTCATTGCATTTAAGTCAATATCAATTTTTTTATAATTAAGAAGTTTATACTTTTTGGCAACTTCATACGAGATATCTGAGGGTCGAAAATTGATAGGATTTGGTTTATTTGGCCAGTAGTAGCAAGAACCATAGTTCATGAGAGCCTCTATTACAGAAGCCGTTGAGACACCAGCGTCTTCCATTGGAATATTGTGTTTGAGTGTATCCCGATAACGACCATTGTAATAAATAAATGCGGCACAAAAATCTACTTGTTGGTTATAGTCTTTTTGAATTACATACTCGCATGCAACTAGAAAACATGTATAGGTGGAGGAGTAATAAGGATGCTCATAAGTTTTAAGAGAACATGCATTAGTCAATATTTGATAGCGTTATTGAGTTTCAACGAGCCTTTGAAATATCAGAGCACCGGTGGAACCGGACAAAAAAAGGTATTGCGACACCTATAGCTTCTGAATGAAGCAAGAAGAAAAGTGTTTCTGTTTTACCCCGAACTAAGAAATCCTACATCTACTGGAATATTTTATGACACATGCGTTTTCTTTCATTTTTGGGAAAAGACATGCCCGACC